TCCTTCCTTCCTTCCTTCCTTCCTTCCTTCCTTCCTTCCTTCCTTCCTTTCTTTTCACAAAGTTAAAAATCACTACCATTTAGGGGCGCCTGGGTAGCTCAGTCGGTTAAGTGTCCGACTTCGGTTCAGGCCGTGATCTCACAATTCGTGAGTTCGAGCCCCACATCAGGCTGTGTGCTGATAGCTCCGAGCCTGGAGCCTGCTTCAGGCTCTGTGTCCCTCTCTCCCTCTCTGCCCCTCCCCTGCTCACGCTCTGTCTCTCTCACAAAAAAACTTTAAAAAGTAAAGTGTTTAGGGGCACCTGGGTGGCTCAGTCAGTTGAGCATCCGACTTTGGCTCAGGTCATGATCTCACGGTCTGTGGGTTTAAGCCCTGTGTCGGGCTGTGCGCTGACAGTTTAGAGCCTGGAGCCTGCTTGGGATTCTGTGTCTCCCTCTCTCTCTGCCCTCCACCGCTCATGCTCTGTCTCTCTGTCAAAAATAAATAAACATTAAAAAAATTTTTAATAAAAATCAAAAAAAATCACTACCCTTTAACACCAGCAAGATGACTTAGATGACTATGTCTCTGGCTCTATCATCATTAAAAGGCCACTTCTGGCAAAATCTTAGATGCCCAGTTTGGACTATCAATTGTTTAGTAAGCACTTTGGAAGGGTTTCCTTAGTTCACTGACAATTAGTGAGGTAAAATAGTACTACCGCTTAGTACCTGGGAGGGTTTTGTTTTGTTTTAAGGCATAATGTCTTAAGCCCTGGTGGACTGTAATAAACAGAAGACTTTGATGAAAGAGAACTACCCCCTGCTGTGAACAGCCAGGAGCAAAGTTAACCATTACAAAATACCAATTTTGCAAGAAATTATGTCACTGATGCAGAAGTTACTGGTTAACTGCAGTCCAGTCTCTGAATTAGTGGGAAGAGCTGCCTTCGTGAACTATAATGTTCTGATGTCATTTAAAGTTTGGAAGTTCCAATTTAGAAAATTGGTATCGGTCAACAAGACATGACTAGCATGGCAAGTAGTATGATGGAAGCCAGACACCCTAGTACTTTCTCCTCACATATATTGATTTCTAACTTAATTATAAACTAACTCCAGAAGTTTCAATGATTGTGCAATATAACATTTTTCAGCCCATCAGATTTATGACCTGTTTGATCATTTCCCAGTGACATTTTCAGATAGTGCAGAGAAACCATAAGGGGTGTAGATTTGAAAAGAACTTCTTAAAACATCTACGTGAACAAATGAGAAGGCTGTAGGTCCCTTTAAGTTCACATGCAGTAAAACCTTACCTATTTAAAACCCAGCACACCCTGAACGCTGCCTGATTTTTCCCATGATTAACTCAGTTTTCATCTGAAAGAGACAAATAAAAAAAAAATTAGTATCATGAATTTACTCGAGGCAGAAGGAGGAAGAGAGGAAAGAAAAAACAGATCACCACATTACATTTATTGCAAGATGCATACGTTTCTTCATCGTCTCTGAAGTCAGGATGTGCCTTACAGTCAAGGTAGTCTTATACCTGTCCTTGACCAGGTAGTGGTGTATTGTGTGAGCAAGAAGGAATCAGGCCAAATGGTTCACGTTGCCACCACCCAAGCTGAGAGATGTGCATGGTTAATACTTCATATGTGAGGCTTAGTTCACTTTTTTATTCTTTTTATATTTATTTATTTTTGAGAGAGACAGAATAAATAAAATTTATTTATTTTTGAGAGAGACAGAGCACAAGCAGAGGATGGGCAGAGAAAGGGAGACACAGAATCCGAAGCAGGCTCCAGGCTCCAAGCTGCCAGCACAGAGCCTGACACGGGGCTCAAACCCACGAACCTCAAGATCATGACCTGAGCCTACGTCAGACACCTAACCACTGAGCCACCCAGGCACTCCAATCGTGGTATAATCTTTAAAAAATTCATTTAAAGGGCGAGCCTGGAGCCTGCTTCAGATTCTGTGTCTCCCTTTGTCTCTCTGCCCCTCCCCGGTTTGTGCTCTCTCCCTCTCTTTCCTTCCCGCTCTTTCTCTCTCTCTCTTTCCCTCTCAAAAATAAATAACAAACATTTTTAAAAATTAAGATTAAACTATGATTTAACATTGGAACAACAAGTCTTAGGAGTGTCTTAACGAATATTTTGCTTACATTTTCCCATTTATGTACAAGACTGTTATACAATAGAAACCTATGTCTAAATAAAATCTGAAAAAGAGCTTTCAGTAAGTAAAACCTTAAAAAAAACATCTATGAGAAAGTATTGTGTCCTCGTTTATTTGAAATTATCTTCCTCGTTTGTCTGAAATTATTTTCCTTCTTAGGGTTCTGTCAAACACTGGGGCGTGTCTTGTCATCACAGGTGTCTTAACTGGAAGAAGGAATGTCATCCCGTGGGGTCAGTCCTCACAAATCTCTCTGACAGCCTTGCCCCAAGACCTCATCCTACCTGACAAGCCCCCGCCCCTCCTGCAGCCACCACTTCTCCACCCCCCAAATCAGAGAGCCCCCGAGAGCGCGGGAAGCAAAGCCGGCAGCCGCTTTCTCGGGATCCTGCCATCATCGGCCAACCATGATTGTAAGATGTTATGGCAATCAGAAGTCGGTTTACCTGGTATAAAACCCAGTGCCAGCGCATCACTTCTTCGCAGAAAAGAAGAACACGGTCAGACACATTCCCAGTAAGAAGGGTTGAAACAAAAAGCGTCATCTAGCTAACTACCCATAACTAAATCTGAGCCTCATTCCCTGCACCCCCTCCTCAGCTTAAATGATGCCGTCCTGTATCGTAATTTGGATCATAGGAGACATTTCCTTAGGCATTTAGGACTATATTAAAAATGTGTGGTTGCATCTCTATCGGTTTCAAAATGTCACTTCTATGTCTGGTACACTGCAGAAGGGGTGGCCCCAGACATTTCCCACATTCCCGGAAGAGTGAAATTCCATTCTTCCCAGATTATCCTAGATGGTCCAGACCTTAACATGGGCTTCCCATTGTGCTGGGAGAGGAAAGAGGAGACTGTGATCTATCCTATGACAAGCTGGGTGTTTAGAAGACAGGAATGGTAAGATTTAATAAAACTTAATACATGTTTGAAAAATGTATACATTTTACATAAATTCATGTAAATTTAACAAATAGAACACACATCACACAAGGCTTTGCTCTACTGAATTCTCTCTCTCCCAATCTGAACTACTTTAAAGTAAATTTTCATCAGATTCACCGTATCGTGTTCTTGGCTGTCCTCCACAGCCAGTTCAAGCGTAGGGTAGTATGAAGGGCATGGACGTGTATTTTTTTAAAGCCTAGAAGTGTAAAACTTATTAGGCCTACTATCTTCACAAGCGAAAAGTTAAAACTTTTGACAGATGCTAAATCTTTATAAAAAGGAAAAAACTAATAATGAAACACACACACACACACACACACACACACACACACACACACTGCCTCAGATTCGACACCTCCTCATCGTACCTGCAGATGTCATATAGAGGTGGATACTACACCCATTAGCAGGGGTCTGCGCATATGTGCTCTCCTCAAAGTACAAGAGGTTAGTTCGAACACCTTCATTCTGAGAAATTCTTTAAAACGGTTGCGTGGGACAGCAATCTTTTGTGTAAATTCTACCTTGGCCTACTGCTTTCCAAAATTACAACTGCGAAATAAATGCAGTGCAGGTGGGCACAAGCTTAGATCATAAGAACGGAGAGGTGTTTGGATTCCCGACGTGGATGGTGGTGATGGTTACATTTAGGTGCCGACTTGACGGGGACACAGAGTGCCCAGGTTGAACGGTATTTCTGGGTGTCTGTGAGGGTGTCGGCAGATGAAATTAGCACTTGAAGCAACAGACTCCGTAAATTGTTGCTGCCGGTGTGGTGGGCGTCATTGAATGGGTGGTGGGCTTGACTAGAAAAACCAAAGCAAACCAGCAGAGGAATTCACCACTTACTTCTCTTCGGCCTCCCTGCTTGACCTGGGATGTCTGCTCTCATCTTCCGCTCCCAGACTGGCCCTTCCACCATTGGGTCCCCTGGCCTCGGGCCTCAGACTCAGGCTGAATCACACCACAGGCTTTCCTGGGTCCGCGGTTTGCAGACAGCAGATTGGCAGACGTTGGAACTTCTCAGACATTATCAAGTGGGCCAGCTCTTCCTGACAAATCTCCTTTGCTCCTGTTGGTTCAGCTCCTCTGGGAAATCCTGACTAATACACTAATTGTGCCTCTGATTCCTAGGTTAGGAATTCCCTGTATCACTTAACTCTGAAAGCATGTATTAAAATAGTCAATAAATGAACAAGCAAGCACAGGAATAGTGCTCCCTCCTGTGGCCAAAGTTCTGAAAACTTTTCAAACGTGGGAAAGCTATCTCTTGGAACCCCCAGGTGGATCACAGACCCAGACCCCAGAGATCCCAATTTACCACTGCAGGTCCTGGGTGTAGACAGGATCATGATTTTATTTTTTTTTAATTTTTAAAACATGTTGGTAATGTTTATTTATTTTTGAGAGAGACAGACACAGAGCACGAGCGGGAGAGGAGCAGAGAGAGGGGGAGACACAATCCCAAGCAGGCTCCATCCAGGCTCTGAGCTGTCAGCACAGAGCCGACACTGGGCAAACTGTGAGATGAGATCATGTCCTGAGCCAAAGTCAGACACCCAACCAACTGAGCCACCTAGGCGTCCCAACAGGATCATGATTTTAAAAGCTGGACTTGTGGTTTGTGGTAATGGAGGCAAATAAATCAGGACACATGTTTAAGTCATAAAGAATAAAATTTAATTCAGTGCTACAGTCCGGTAACGTTAGATTTGCACTTTTGAATGTCTACTATGTGTGAAGAAAATGTCTGTCAAAATTTAAAGAGGTCTAACTTGCAAAAGGAGAAACGGTCTTGGGGTTGGTGGATTCTTCTAATTCTTATAAAATACAGTGGTTCCCAGTCAGAAGTGATTTTGCTGCCCAGGAAAAAGTGACCACACCTGGAGACATCTTTGGCTTCACATCTCAGGGCCCGTGTGCTGCGAGGACCTAGTGGGTCAGGGCTGCTTCTAAATGTCCTACAATGTCCAGGACAGCGCTCCCCGCCAATAATGAATCACCTGATCCAAAATGTCCGTAGAGCTGAGGTTGAAAAACCTTGATACAAGAATGCTCTGTAATCCTTTCCATTCCTATGCAATATATAAACCTTCAGCTTGTACGCAGTACTTATTCAGTGCGAAACCAAGTACGTTTTGCTAAATTTCCAGCAATAAAGCCAGTAACTCAGAAAGGAAGAGTCTTATGAATCATGAATCACGTCTGACTACATTCTTTTGGATTATGTATTTTTTTCTTGGAACATAATATGCTAACAATTTTAAGCCATTGTTTTTCAAAATAGAAAATGTATTTGGGTGTTTTGGTTGATACGCTCCATGAGATATAAATTTAGATATTCTTGTCCCTCAGAGAAATACTAGAAAGGTGAAATTGTTTAAATTAACTCTACATGGGGCTGAAATGTTTTCATTAGAAAAACATGCCTGCTAGCAACAGGTGCATCGAGAGCAGGAGAAAGGAGAGAGGAAGATCGACTTTAACATAGTCACCCCTCTGGCAACCATGGAAAAGCATTTCTTTTAGGACCAGGATCCCCAGCCTGGGATGCCCAAATCCTGAGGCTCTATGACAATAAGGAGAGTCTGAAAGCTACTTTCAACGTTTTAGAAATGACTTAATAATAATTGACCATTTATCCACTCGAAAACATATTAGACTCACTAAAAAGCAAAACAACACGTGCAGACACTTATTACATACAAGTTTATTTCATCTGATGTAATATTGTAGGAATTGCCAGATCTCTCTGGGAAGGAGGGAAGTAACACAAAGCATCCTTTGTGATTAAACAAGAAGTTGGAGACTACTGCCTTGAGGAAACCTGGCAGTTAGATGAGGCTGTCTGGGAAACTAAAGCAGTAACACAATGTTGCACAGACCTTGTCCTCCGGTTTACTGCTTGTGGTGCTTAGTGCATGCTTGGTATATAACAGAAAACGCAATACGTAGTCGTGGTTGAGGCAGAACTTTCAAAAGAGTGAACTCCACTTCAGAATGATGGCAGTGGCAGTAAGAAAGCCCCAGGGAAAACAGTGGAGGGACAGTGCGCCAGGCTTCCAAAGCCATCAGGGAGAGCCTTCCTCCCCCCCCCCCCCCCCCCCCCCCCAAGGATCTACATTCATTTTTACTAAGGAGAAGCCTGGGTTGTTTTCTTAGGGAACTTAACGAAGACTCAAACTGTGGTAACTTCTAGTCCCCTTTACCTTCACTACCTTCCCTACCTTCCCTACCTTCCCTACCTTCCCACTGTAGTCAAATACAGCAAGCTCTCAGAGTGACTCCACTGTTTTATTGGGGGCTCCTACCACTTGGGCTAGTCCATGCTGGACCACAGGGCCCATCCCCTTAATCTCTTGGGGACCTCCTGCTCCAGGTTCCGGTATTGGTTGGTGTCCCCTGGAGAATGTGATCTGGACCCTTCCTCCTTTCACATCCTCCCCGGGCAACCTCCTACATGCCCACAGCTTCGCTTATTTCTACATGCCCAAGCCCCACATTTCTCCGTCTAGCCCACCACTTTATCCCCTACTCCAGACCAACGTTATCTAGATATGTGCTCGGCAATCTCCAACTCAACAGGTCCAAAATAGAATTCCCACTCTTTCCGCTGAACTCTCCTTCCTCCGGGTTTCCCTTACTCAGTACATAGCACTATCCACCACCATCTTGCTTCTCTCAGAATCATGGGTTCATCGTTACTTTCTGCTATTGAATGAATGGTGTCCCCAAATGCATATCTTAAAGCCCAAACCCCCAGGACTTCAGAACATAACATATTTGGAGAGAGGGCCTTTAAAGAGGTAATAAAAATGAGATTATTAGGGTGGGCCCTGATCCAATCGAACAGGTGTCCTTACAAGAAGAGGAGATTAGGACACACAGAAACACCAGGGATGTATATGTGCAGAAAAAGGCACAGGGAAGGGCACCATCTACAAGCCAAGCAGAGAACCTACCAACACCTTGATCCTGGGCTTCTAGGGTCCAGAACCGTGAGAAAGAAATGTCTGTTGTTTAAGTCTCCAGTCTGTGGAATTTTGTTACGGCAGCCCCAGCAGGCTTATATGCCTTCTCCCTCTTACCAATCACCTGGTCCTACCCGCTCTACCTCTATATATCTCTCCAGTCTTTTCTCCCCATGACCGTTCTCCCTGCCCTCACCCAGCATCCCCTCAAGTCTTCTCTGGATGCCTACAGAAGCCTCCCAATGGTCTTCCGGCTCCTCCTCTTCCCGTGCCCCATACACTCCCGTCTCCAAAGATGTCTCCAGGGTGGTCATCTAAGAATGAAAATGGAATCCTTCCCCCAGCTTAAAGCCCTTTGATACTTTCCCTATTTCTCACAGAATGAAATCCAAACTCCTTAACTTGTATAAAGCCCAGGACAATCTAGTTCCCACCTGCCCCTCTGGCCTCACCTAGACCCACTCGAGGGCCTCATCCACCATGCGTCGTCAGACACCTCTGGCAATTCTTCCAATGACCAAAAAAACCCCACTTGTTTTCCCACGCATTTTTCCCCTTTTTGGAAATGTTTCTCAGTCCCTCCTTGTTGCTAATGTTTATGCATCCCAGTCTCAACCAAACTGTCATTTCCTGAGAAAGGGTTTCCCTGCCCTCGCATGTTGGTTCACCACATCCAAGTGCCCTGAGATCCTGCACTGGTCACTGATAGTGACCTTCTTCTCACAAGGGAAATTAAACAGTTGTCTGCATTATCATGTTTCTCAGGTGAGCTCCCCAAGACTAAAATCAATCTCTTTATTTTGTATTCCCTGGACCAAGTACAGTGCCTGGACCATATTTGTTGTGAAGGGATAAGAGTAACCAGAACATACATCTGAGGCTCCGAAGGAATTTACTTCTTACTAAAGGCCCACAATTCTTTGGCAGGAGGCTTTGATTTGAATCCTGAAGCCAAATATTAAAGAGCCACAAAAGGTCGAACTTAACAGTAAATTAAGCTGAAGGGAAACATAAAACTATAATATGTCTTGTTTGCTTTTGATCCGTGGCGTGTATTTCCCCTCAGTAAAATTATTTTGTACTGGAAATGACTGGAGGAACTTGGCTGGAATAAGAGGTTTGAGGACACCAGTAGAGACTTAAAGGAGGTATTACGGGGAGAGAAGGGGGGCAGGGACTGAGAGAGGGCAGTGAAATAATCATTGGGTGGTAGTGAGGGCACAGCTGGGGCCCCGAATTTTATGGGCCCCCATCAACTAGGATTTAAGCTACAGGAAAGCAGGGTATGCATTTTCTGGGGCTGCCGTAACAAAGTACCAGAAAACGGGCGGCTTAAAACAACAGAACATTATTCTTTCACGGTTCTGGGGGCTAGAAGACCAAACTCATGGTATCAGCAAGACCTCTCTCCCACTGAAGGCTCTAGGGGAGAATCCATCCATGCTTCTTTTGGTTTCTGGTGGCTTCTGGTGCTCCTTGGCTTACAGCTGAATCACTCCAATCTCTACTCCCACCTTTACATGGTGGTCTGCTAGGTCTGAGTGGTCAAGCCTCCCTCTCCTTTCTCTGATAAAGACTACTAGTCACTGAATTGAGGGCACACCGTAAATCCTCGATGATCTCAACTTGAGATGCTTAACTAGTTGAACCTGCAAAGACTCCTACTTCCAAATAGGGTCACATTCTGAGGTTCCGAGCGAACATAAATTGGGGGGGGGGCAGCATTCTACTCACTACAGACAGGTACTTTGTTTCCTTCACGCATTTACCCCAGAACCTAAAATAATACTCGGCACATTGTCATGCTCAGCAAGTACTTGTGAAATGAATAACTTCATTAATGAATAAAATAAGTGCAAAGGATCGAGGGTGCTGAGGAATACAGGTGTTTCCGCTGAAGTGCCAAGATAGGGTACCAGCACCAAGGTCAGTTACCAACTTCTGAAGGGAATTTATAGAGAAGCCACTACACAGGTGGACCTCTCACCCAGGTGGAAGATGTCAAAGGATCAGAAGACTGAAGACTGAGGCCAGACATGGTGTGGAAGATTTAGAAACACTTCCAGAGAAAGGGGTAAGGAGAGTGCTTGCCACTCACTTCAAGTCTATTGAGAGGGACGTCTTAAGATCACTCTGAGAGCTTGAAGATGTCACAGGCTTGTACCTAAGCAAAGGATAGCAGCTCTATGCTGGGGAAGTAATTGTGCTCCCTTCTAATGGTGCATGAATCCTGGGGTGAACACGTGACAATGGGAAATCAGTCTGGGTTGCTTTTTAAAGGATCCTGCCCAAAAGAGCAGCAGGTTGGGAAAAGAGGAGCCTGGTCATTTGAGGCAAGAAGAGGCAGAATTTGTAAGTGATCAGGAGGGTCACTGTCCTCATCAAAGGACTGGCAACCAGATGGGCCTGGAGGGAAGAGGGGAAGGTCTTCCAGAGAACCCATGGACATGCCCTCAATGGGGTCAGCTTCAATATCTGCCCTGCCTATAGAGAGCACGATGCTGCCTTTCAGTCAAAGACTCGTTCATTCTAACTTGGCTTCACTGCCCCGGCAGAGTCAGAAATGGCAGCCATGGAGTAAGAAAAGGAGTGGGAAGGGGTTGGGGGGAGCTGTCCAAAATCTCTGTCCACACCAAAAATTTTTGTTTGCCTCCAGGCCCAACAAGGAGAGAGGTACCAAGTCCTTTCTTTGAATAAAGATTGCAGCTGTGATTAGTATAAGGGGCCTGATACTGCAAATTGCTGAATTGAAATTGGTATATGGAGTGGACATTTTCAATTACTGAATTGATAACAGAGTGAACATAGGGCCGAGGGACCAGAAGAGTCATGGGACCTACCCAAGTTTTCAAGAGGCTGGAGAAGGACTAGCCCCACTCAGCAGGATTGGAGGGACAAAAATAAAGTAGTTTCTAGGATTACACCCCTGAATGCTACATGTTCCAAGTACTAAGTCATAGAGGTTTCAGATGATCAGTTACATAATCCAGGCTAGGTAGAGAAGGGAGAACAGCCAGCAAGGGTCTGATGTGAAAATATAATTGTGGGTATAAAGCCTCCAGAAGGCTAGTGTCAGAGAGTGTGTTACTGGTATGGCTTTCCTGACATGAAACATTTCTAGGTAAGAATATAATCCAGAGGTGGGGATGAGGTAACCGACATGCTTTGGAGCTCAAGAGGTGAGAAAAGAGATTAAAGAAACTTAAGGCAGGGTGCTTGGGTGGCTCAGTCAGTCAAGCGTCCAACTCTGAATTTCGGCTCAGGTCATGATCTCACGGTTCTCAAGTTTGAGACCTGTGCTGACAGCGTGGAGCTTGCTTGGGCTTGTCTCTCTCTCCCTCTCCCTCTCTCTACCCCTCCCCTGCTTGCTCTCTCAAAGTAAGTGAACTTAAAAAAAAAACTTAAGGCTAAATTGTTATATAGGTGCAGAAGTCTTCTGGGATCTTGTCACGGCTTGGGCTGAATAGGAAGATGACTATTCAGACCCCAATCCCTACCCCTACAGAAACTGCTCCTGTCAAGATCACCAGGAAACTCCAGTGTCACTTCCAACATAAGCAATTCCCATTTCTCATCTTACCTGTCGGTAGCATCTGACGTAATTGAGCACTTCCTCTTTCTTGAAACACTTTCTTCACTTTGCTTCAAGGATTCCACCCTCTGATTTTACTCCTCCTTCCTGGCCACCCCTTCTCATATTCTTCTGCTGGATCCACCTCTTTTTTCGACGATTAAATGCTGGAGGATCTGGGGCTCAATCATAGAAATTTTTCTCTTTGCTGTCTCGCTTCCTAAGAGATCATACCCAGTCTCATGGCTTTAAATACCTCTACACAGCTCCCAATGTATATGTTAGCACCAACATCTCCCCCAAACTCCAGACTGCTTACTTGATATCAATGCTTAGATATTTGATTTAGCATGTCCAGAATCAAACACAATGCCATAACCTGATCTCCAACTTTCTCTGCTCCCAAATTCCCTCTCACTAGATGCCATCACGATTGCCCAGTTGTTTAGGCAAAAAAAAAAAAAAAAAAAAAAAAAGTAGTCAACTTCTATGCCTCTTTGCTTACATCCCATCTGCAAATCTTGTCAACTAGGTCTTCAATATATAGGACCAAGCTCGCCCTGTCTCCCCATCTCCATCTTGGCACAAACCATCATTGCCATCTCTCTGCCTCCACACTTGACTCTCTGTAATCTCTTCCCCACACAGAATCATCCATTTAAACATACCTCAGATCTTTACCTCGCTGCTCATTGAAGTCCCCCTATGGCACCTACCCTTCTCAGGTTAAATTCCAAACCCTTGACACGAATTGCAAGGTGATGTGTCTGGCCATTTCCCAGAGCTTTTCTAAGGCTCTGCAAGGCCATCTTAAACAGAGCTGTCTCATTGAGCTGGGGGGGTCAAGTTTTTTTAAAAGAATTATCACATATTGTCTCAAAGAAAGGTCTCTGAAGGCGTGTTTTAGAAAGAACTGTTTCATCACTGAAGCACTTAGTAAAATGAAAAATCTGTGAGGTACGTTCTTTCCAGATTTTAAGGCTTGATGTTATCCTTTGCTCTCAGTGCTGAAGTCAAACACCCCCTCTTCTGTGAAGTCTTCTGTCTGCTGGCTTCCTGATTCAGCTTCATTCCCAATACCCTACAGAAAAAACAAAAAGTTCTCCATTGTTCTGTGTTTATACACAGTGATTGGGAATCTGTGAAGCTCGTGTCTGTCTTGTGTTACTACTCTGGAAGGCACAAGTCTACTAACTCATGCTTTAAAAATATGCATATATATATACTGGGTGCCAAGGTGACTCAGTTCATTGAGCTTCTGATTCTTGCTACCGGCTCAGGTCCTGATCCCTCAGTGATGAGTTCAAGCCATTAGTGGGGCTCCTGGCTGGGCATGGGGCCTGCTTGGAATTCTCTCTCTCTCTCTCTCTCTTTCTCTCTGCTCCTCCCCTGCTTGTACACATGCATGCTCCCTCAAAATAAACATTAAAAAAAATAAAAATATACACATATACTGTATTTAATCACTTATAAAACCCACTTTTTAAATAAAGACTGAAATTAGGAGATGCCTGGGTGGCTCAGCTGGTTAAGCCTTGGACTTGATTTCAGCTCAGGTCATCTCATCGTTCACGGAATGGAGCCATGTGGGGCTCTGCACTGACAGTGTGGAGCCTGCTTGGGATTCATTCATATTCTCTCTCTCTCTCTCTCTCTCTCCCTCTGACCCTCTCCCACTGGCTAGCCTGTGCATATGCACAGGCTCTCTCTCTCAAAATGAATAAAAAAAAAAAAAAAAAAAAAAAGACTGAAATTGGGATGAGTCTTAAAATGATAGAAAGCATAATTTCTCAGCACTTTTTCTTTCTTGCTGGTACATAAAATAATGCTACCTTGGAATTGATACTATCTTACAGTTGATTAAATACTGAGTGTAAATCTTGTGAGTTTATGTGCTTCCATCTTCACCAGCAGAAGTTTAGTCCATCATTCCATATGGCAGTTGTTTCTGCTACAATACATTTAAATATAAATTGAGTTAGGAACGGGGTAGAAGTTCCTCACTTCCAAACTGCGTATCTGATCCTCAGTACGAAGACGCTCCAGAAACGGCAAAGCATTATGGTCGTGTATTTCTTCACATCCAACCATCACCAATCACTAGCAATGACCCACCCTTTACGCTCCAGCCTGACCTCTGCAAGGTCGCAGGGGTTAAGCGCCGGCTCCGCAGCTGGGGTGGCGCAGGTAAGCGCGCCCCGCCCACCTACCCCCCACCCACCCCCGGCTTGCCTCGTACGGGACGCGAACTCTGATTGGCCAAGGGACTCAAGGAGCTTGGCCAAGGGACTCAAGGAACTTGCCCAAAGTCACCTTCCGAGCATGCGCGGGAGAAGAGGTGCAGGCGCGGCGCCACCCGCGCATGCGCCGTACGCAGCCGTCGCTCTTTAAAGCGCCCGCGCGGGTCCGCGTCTTGCCGGCCGACCCGCCACCGTCCGGCATGAGGGGTTGGGGTGTTGCTGTCACCTCCTGCTCACTCAAGCACCATGGAACGCCTGCGGAGCCTGAGCCGGCTCCTGTCCCGGCGCACGCTGTGCGCTCTGGCCCAGGGCCTGACGCCTGGGACGCCCCCAGTTGCCGCCTGCGGCCGCGCGGCCCACATCCTCGGGCGGAGCCGGGCCGCGCCACTGTGCGGGCCCCGCCGGCCCCCAGTGGCAGGTACGGCCCTCTCCGCGGCCCTGGACGCCGATCTTGCGTCGACCTCAGGGCCCTGACCCGACCGTCCGACCCTGCGCAGGCCTCAGCCCCGAGTCCGCCCTTGGGGCTCCCGCCCGGAAGGTCCGCCCAGCGCCGAGGTCCCCACGCCCCTCGCTGCAACCCTCCCTCTGCAGTGCTCCAAGGGGAAGAATGTTCTTAACGAGAATTTCTCCCTGATTCCTTATATGGTAGCTCTGAAGCCGAGATTGGGTTCGTCCGCCTGAAATAATTGTTACTGTCTCTTCCCAGTCTTCTTTCCCTTCCTGATGGACACTGGTAACCCTTTTCCCATTGCTCAAGTGAGGAATGGGGACGCACCTATAAATAAGGCTGAAAACTTGGGAGACTTCGTAGTGAGAGTTGCTCCCGAGGAAGCTCTGACTTAGTTTTCCAGGGCAGTGTGACAGCCACAGGGGTCCGAGCAGTGGCGAGGAGGAGGAATCGGAGCTGTTAATGTTTTCACCATGTGATACAGCATAATGATCACATTTCCCCAAGTGTGAGAATGTGGGTGAGAATACTCAGAAACGAGCGACGTTACAATGTATGGCTCCTCAAAAGTATTGCGCTGCCCTCTAGTTTTCTCAGTTTTATTCTCAAAAGCTTTCTGAAGTACAACTCGCCATCACCACGTCCTTCCCCACGCTCAACAGAGAGTCTGTATTTGGGTACATCGCATTTTCCCTCCTTTAATAATGCTCGAGATCCCAGTTTCAGCCCATCTGATGTTTTAGGACAAACGTTGAGATTCACGATTCCCAATTTGAAAACACTTTATCTAACTTGTGGTTGATTAGCAAATGCTGATTTATTATCGCTCTTTTACTTTTATTCACCTGACTCTTATAATTTGTATTTTGTAAAGGGGAAACAAGCCCCAGATGCTAACAATTACAGGAGTCACTAAGTGTATGTAATGGGAAAGAATAAGATCGGAACGGAGACTGTGTCTCCACATTCTGTGGAGTCCGTGTGATTACTTTGGAAGTGTAAAATAATTGGTAATTTTTTTTACACCTTCTTCCCATTCCTTTTTAGTATTTTGAATACAGCATCCTTTGTGTCATTAAATCGACATGGTTATTCTTCAGAACTCACTGCAACTCAGTCTGATTACATGTTTTAAATAGATTAATTTTCGAATAAGGATTTGTTTTCATTCCAATTCATTGGGTTATCTTATGAGTATGGGATCTGCATTCCAGTTCAATGGGCTATCACATAAGTATTTACTGTGTAAAGTATATGTGTGGAAAAGTTAATACGTGGAGGTAAAATCTATAGGTTTCATGACTTAGAGATCCAATAATCCTGATCCTAGAATGCTGAAACGGGTTTTACTTGCAATGTGTTTTCTAAAATATGTCTACCAATATAATTTTCATGAGAAGCCTTTTTAAATTCTGCAAAAAAAGATGGACATTTTCTTTTAATCTCAGAACAGTGTTATACGTTTGTGCATTCAACTCTGAGATAGCAGTAATCATTAGAAAAAAGGTGGTTGGAATCCGTAAATTATTCTAGTACCTCACCTAAGCCATTACTTTTAAAAATCATTCCCTGCCAGATCTAATATAATCACCTACAAGTGTTAAAAGGGACATTCCTCTAGGAATTCCTCATTCCTCTAGGAAAAATGTTTCCAAAAAATAGTCTGAAGACTTCCGCATACTATAAGAGCTCTCTATCTTAGCCATACGTTGAAACCTGTTGTATGACCACAGAGAATTCCTTGATTTATTCTTCAGGTGAAATGCACCGGTTTAGAACTTCTGATGTCTCTCAAGCCACTTTAGCCAGCGTAGCCCCGGTGTTTACTGTGGTGAGTATGGATGGTACATTTGATAACTTAAAGAAAGTACTTCCCGTACTTATTAAGTTAACTGGGGTGGACTGGTCAGCCAAGATAATACTTATTTTTTGTTTCATAGTGAATCATTATACTTGTAAGTCATGTTGTCTTTGTGTTTTGTTTGGTGACCTGAGTGCCAGCTAGATTTGCTTAAGAGCAGCCTTGAAACTTCGGTGTTGAATGTGGAGGTCTTCTTTTGATACTAGAACTGGTCGTTCAAATCACAGCTCCTCACTGCCTCCTCAAGATTTCCCCGTGAATATGTTTAGAAGTCCTTGAAGGCTGTTGGCCATACAGGGGCTTAAACCCGTGCTATGCAATACAATATATGCAGAAGCATGTTGAAATGAAAAAGTGTAGTGTTTAAGAGTGTATGCTTTTTTTTTTTAATGTTTATTTATTTTTGAGACAGAGACAGAGCATGAATGGGGGAGGGGCAGAGAGAGAGGGAGACACAGAATCTGAAGCAGCTCCAGGCTCCGAGCTGTCAGCACACAGCCCGACGCGGGGCTCGAACTCACGGACCGCGAGATCATGACCCGAGCAAGCTGAAGCCGGACGTTTAACTGACTGAGCCACCCAGGCGCCCCAAGAGTGTATGCTTTAAAGGTTCATGATCTCTGCGATGATCTGAAATGATTCAGGGGGGGAAATGAGTAAAATAATAAGAATAATGTGTATCACAGACACGTATCTAAGAAAGAGAAATAGGTCATTGGGGCAGAATCGTAGCAAAAGAGGACTCTAGGTGAAAGTTGCACAGGGTTTGGTTGTAAGATATTGCAGCTTTTTTTGTAGGGCTTTAACTTTTTCAAAACAACAGTTGAATTTAAAAAAATGTGCCTGTTCTGAACGAGCATTCCTAAATTCAGAACTCAGCTCTACCTCTGTTAACTGGGCAGACTTGGACAAGGTGTGATAACATTTTTGTGCCTTAGTTTTCTCATTGGTATACGCTGGGGGTAATAGTACCTAGTGAAGTTCAAATTAACTCTCAACTGTGTGTGAAACCCTTAAGATTCAGGAATAATACAAAGATGTCCACTCTTACCATTACTGTTTAATACAGCACCGGAAGTCCTAGCCTCAGTAATCAGACAACAAAAAGAAATAAAAAGCATTCAAATCAGCAAGGAAGAAGTCAAGCTTTCACTATTTGCAGACAACATGGTACTCTAGGTGGGAAACCTGAAAGACTCCACCAAAAAATTGCTAGAACTAATTAACACATAAATTTACTAAGTCACAGGATATAAAATCAAGGTGCAGAAGTCTGTTGCATCTCTATACATCAATAAGGAAGAGGCATAAAACCGTTAAAACAGTGCCTCACATGGTAAGAGCTTGATATATATTAGCCATTATCATCATGATTATTCAGGCTTATGAACATAAGAACTTTTCTTTATAAACTGTACGAAGCAGGGGTGCCTGGGTGGCTCAGTCAGTTAAGTCTCCGACTTCAGCTCAGGTCATGATCTCATGGTCTGTGAGTTTGAGCCACATGTCGGGCTCCGTGCTGACAGCTCAGAGCCTGGAGCTGGCTTCAGATTCTGTGTCTCCCTCCCTCTCTGCCCCTCCCCCCATTCACAATCTCTCTCTCTCTCTCCCTCTCCCTCTCTCTCTCTCAAGAATAAACATTAAAAAAATTTTTAAGAATAAATTCAGAAATTAAATACTGAAAGAAGGTTCTTTGCAGGTGAAATTGTGTACCAAAAACACTTAAGAAAATCAGTTGATACTACTTGAAAGGAGAGCTCACTAATCAGCTCATTTTCTAGGTGATGTTACTTTATAAGATAAACATGTTTTTTAAATCATAGTTTGTATGATCTTTATCAAAATATTAAAGAAAAAATGATGAATATTGACCTGCAAAAGTATTCATATATCGTTAAGTTGGAAAAGGAGGCATGACTGCAAAGAAGTGTGTGTAACATGAGTGTATTGAAGAGGAAAAAGGCTGGGAGAACGTTTAGTAAAATATTGGCATGGCTTTCTCCAAAATTTGTCATTTGGGGTGATTAGTTTTATTTTACTTTATTTTCAAACTTTCTTCAGCTGGTATGTGTATTTGTGAAATTAAGGAAACCTAGTCTGTATTACACAAAATAGTTCCTTTTGATGTAAATTTGCCCTTTGATGGCTTATGGTACTCATATTTATGTTGACCTTACCTTGCTCATGAGAAACCAGCTAAAATATATACTGTGGGATGTTGTTCTTTTGCTGTTAACACAGCATGCGTACGTTTCCATGGTAATAACCCAGCATTTGTTGCGTCAACTATATCTTAGGGTCTTTCTGGAAATGCATATTTAACAGTAATTAGTGCAGCCTAGTATATAGTGATTCATTAAATGTTATTTGACACATTCAAACTTGACAAGTATTCAGTACTTGTGGACAAGTATTGTAGAAAAATGTTCCCTCTGCTTTCTGGGAAATAGGTAGATTTTCTGCATTGTGTCCTCTCTTCAAACTATCAGAAGAGGCCTTTTCAGTAAATCATTATTGATTCCCCTACACTCACCAGAGAGACTTGATAGCCTCCAGTAGATCCTTAGATTCACAAGATGAGCCACAGTTGGTTTCAGTCT